TAGAATGTGTTAAACTGTAATGGGAGTAAACTAGAGGCATAGTGAACATAAAAAAAAAAACAAAAACAAAAACAACAACAAAAAAACAAACAAAACAAAAACCTTTAAGTGAGAAGTTTTAAAGAATATTAATATATGAAATGAAGAGATAGAGGAGGTATAATATATATGTATGTGCATATATGTGTGTATTCTTAAACTTTTAACTCAAATCCTGACCTCTCCCATATGTCAGTTTTATATTTCCAACTCTATGTTAGGTGACATAAATGTCTTGCTAGTACGTAAAACTCAGTATACTAAAATTAAACTTTTTATATTTTTGGCTACACTCTCCCTCAGTGTTTTATATCTATATGAAATTTTAAGAGAATACACACTAAAGTTGTAATGCAGGGAGTTATGGAGAATAACATGTATGGCAGACACATAGAATAAGGCAAAACCCCATATACAGAAGGTTTGTTGAGGCGTATTGTGAAAGGAAAAATCCTGGGGGAGAGCAAAAGAACAGAATGAAAATGATTATTATCATTAATAATATAGAAAAGAAATATATACACCATGAAAAGTACAATGAGTTGGCAAGAGATAGCAGAAATCAAAGATATTTACGCACTTAGAGCATATTGATTTGCTTACAAAACAGCTTTTGTTTTGCTAAGGAGAAAGATCATCTCTTTCCACAAGTCTGGGGAGAAAGAACAGTGTATATAGAGCAAGATTTTGAGATAGACAAATAGAACAATAAATGCATTTCTGGTGGCCTCAATTTTCTTTGGTAAATATATGGAGCTTGGGGCTCTTTAAAAAGTGAAGAAAGTTTTGCATAGTTGTGAGCCATGTTTTAGAAGAGATGAGTGAGGGACCTGTTGTGTTTCAATTATAATTAACTCAGTATTCTAGATTTACCACTAATATGTTTAATTAATTTTCAAATCTTAACTTGATATTTAACAAATCCTCCCTAAATTCATTTGAGCATTTTCTGCGATATTCATTTCATGATTTTGTTTCACCGTTTTAAAAAAATGCTCACTTTAGTTTTTGAGTGTAAACTTTTTAAAAAATTTATGTTATAGAATTTTTATTTTAGATATACCAAAAATTGATTTAAAAAAATGAAGATCATATTTAGATTAAATTGTCACAAATAATTGATTTTTTCCACTTTTTGAAAACTCTTCCTGTAGATAAATGATAGAGCGATAGATGATAGATTAATTTTGAAACATTAAGAGGAAATTATGCCAAAATTAAATGCCTGCTTATATTACTAAAATCATCAACAGTAACCAATAAGGTGACTTTTTAGTAATATACATGACAGGTGAATTTTGTCAACCGTCAGCTTCCTAGAAAACCTGTAAAATAACTCATTAAGAAAAGCTGAGATTATTACCTATTGCAATCATGGATGACAACATTTTGATAGTCTCAGAATGTCCAGAAGAAGATGATGGCAGGGTTGGGGAGAGATAGGTATAGCGCTGGGGGTCTAGGATTGAGTGATTAAGACAGGTCTTTCAATGAGCTCTGGTTGGAGGTGGGCACGTTTCATGATGTAATAGATTAAGGTTGGTGGACACAGAGAGGTAAGCATCTCTAAGTCAGTATTAAGTAAACAGTTGTTTGATAATTAAGAAATTTGCTCAGTTTTAAGAAGATATGTTTTAGATGAATAAATTTTCAGCCAGTTCCTGAAAAAAAAGAGTTTCTATACTGATTTACAAACTTATTTTCATGGTCAAGAATTTTCAGCAACTAAAAGTAAAATCTTATGGATATAGGCTGGTAATTGTTCTTGGTCCTGAGTGTTGACATGGATGCAGAGGATTCAGTTCTCAATTTCAATAGCAAATTGAGAACTGTAATATGAAATGCTTTACTAGTTGCTTTGTGTGAAAGAACTATAAAATAAAAGGTTATATTTACCTAAAAGATCTTAAACTAAGATACATTACTATGTTTTTACTTTTGTTAGAAAAAGGAATTGGACAGAAATGACAATAATAATCATTTAAGGTAACAGACACCAAAAATGTATTCTTGGAGCTCAGGATGGAGAGGCTAGACAGTATGCATTTTACTATACCTTTTCATTAAAAAACAAAAACAAAAACAAAATAAACAACTGACTAAATCGAATATGTGTTCAGAATAATTGATTCTTAGTCTTCATTGAGCTTACTCTTCATTGAAAAAGGAAGAAAGATTATTTAATCAAAGTACTGTATAGACTTTCACAATACTGTGTTTTAAGTATGTTTCAAGTACACCTACCTTAATCTTCCTGTGTTAATACACTTTATTCATTGATCTGATTCACTCATATTTCATTACCTAATATTAAACAAAGTATGGAGTGACAGTTTTGAAATATAGTTCCAGGAAGTAATTTATTAATGCAATAATGGGAGTTTCGAAACTGGGAGATTCCACTAGTGATTATAAATCAAATAGTAGAATAGGAGACCCAGAAGACTAGAAAAAATTTAAGAAGAATTAATAATGGCAGATATTAGATGCTTTTAAAATAATTTATGCAGAAATCTGTATTAAATATTAAATTAGAGACTTACACTTGAATTAAAAAACAATGTCTCCTACTAATGCAACATTGACAGTCTAATAGTAAAACTTATAGAAATGTAAATCTATAAATCTCAAATTCTGGATGTTTTTCAAGTCTGAATAATGATTTAACAAAATTTACTTAAAAAATTAAATGCAGTACTTATTTTCTCAAACAAGCTTCACTTCCTTCTACTTTGGCTCTAAGGGAAATAAAAACTATTTTCTTTTTATTCCACCCCTAATACAATCTATCACCTGCCTAGGGATTTTTCTTTCCTCATGGGGCCATGTGTTACTCTTTCTCTTCTATTAAAAAGAGACCACCATTCACACTAAAATTGCTCTCTAAGCTCTTCTTTCTCACTAAGCCACAGACTTCATTCCTATTTAGAATTCTGCAGTGTGCTTATTTCCTGAGAGATGAACCCCTCTTCGAGTGACTTTGCTATACTTATCTCCATGGTGAAGTAGAAGAGGGGAAATCCTCTTTCTCCTAATTTATTGTTAAACTATTACGATAATGATTTGTTAAAGCATATTTTTTTTTTCTCTTCTTGCTAATCTTTGATGATGATGTTCATTAATATCAAGAAGTGATATACAGGATTGAGGCTGTGAAGAAAAATAACAGAGGGGATTAGTTGGGGTTGGACAATTGATTCAAACAGACATTAATTGAGATCAGGAAGACAGGAGACCAGAATCAGCTAACAAGACTAAATGAGTAACATTTAGTTGACAGGCGATGCCACTGAGCTGTGATCATAAACTATGACTAGAAAAGGAATCTAGGAAAGGAATATGAATCAAAATAAATATTTATTATTTGTATAAACTTGTTATTTATTCAACATCACTAGAAAGGACAACAGGTAAAGTTAATGACAAAAAGAACTCATTTTATTTATAGCTGATAAAAGACATCCAGAAGGTGTTACAAGGCCTTATTTTAAAGATCACATAGGACTGTCTTTTAGTCCATATAGTCTGCTTCAGGAAGTAACTTGGAAATATTTCTTTGTCTTTTTTCTCTTTTCTTAAAACACTGTTTGTTTTTCCTTATTCCCCAGACCACAGTTCTAACTTGTCACTGTCCCCATGCGATTAAGTTCAAAAAGAACTATTGGCCTTCTGTGCCATCTTTGACTCTATAGGAGAGTCATATTGGACTCTTGGTCTTCTGATTGAAACACAAACAAAAAGAAAAACAAGTTTTATTTTTTCTGGTATTGATTGCTTCTCATCATAGGAGTTCTAGTGTTACTGTTTATAATAAAGGAATAACTAGAGAACAGGTCAGAAAATCTTGCTCTGCCAAAGTGTCAGACATGTCTATATCATGTTCATAACCCCTCATGCAATGCTTGTTTACTGTTGTACAGATGAAGACATTAGGTTCTGATAGATTGGAAATTATATAACTTTATTATGAAGAGTGGACCAAATCCTCTTTAATATTGCCTTTCTTCCAAGAATAGGCAGGGATTTGGGAGGTAAAATGCCATGGAAAGATTAGTGGATAAAACTGGAAAGGAGGTTAATATTATATTAAAAAAAACTCATGACTGCTTTTATTTGTGTATCCTTCCTTTTACACACACACACACACACACACACACACACACACACACTTGTGAGTATCTGACAGTTTTTCGTCATGTTGATATTTTTAGTCTGAGGTATTCTTTTTTATTTTTTATTTTTTTTGAGATATTCTTAAGATGATTTAATTTCCTTATGAGTGTGATTGAATTTAGCTCAAAAATTTATAAAATCAACAGCTGTCCAGAAGCAATTTGATTATTTTAAATGAAGACATCATTTTTCTAAAGTTTAGAAGTAGATACAATGGCATGCTACCAGTTTCAGAGATTTTGATCTGTGATCATACAATACATAAAATACTGGAGACAAAATTCTCAACCAAAAAGAGAAATAGGTTAAATAGCAATTGAGTGGTGGTAGGACTGGTTACATAAAAAGCTCTGCATGAGGGTGATTCAATATGAGTAGCCTTAGAATTGTGTAGTTATGGTTAACTGGCAGCCCTTTCTGCAAGTTTAACTAGATCATTAATCAGTAACAGCTTAAATAAGAAACTGGAGGCACTTGTCTTTGTTCCTTCTTCGTCATCTCAGAATGGGCAACCAATTCTTCATATTTTAATTAATTTTCATTTGTTAGACTAAATCTGAGTGACCTTCTCACTAACCTTTTTCATTGCACAATAGATCATGTGCTAGGAGGACTTCCTGATCACTGAAGAGGATTAATGTGAGCCAAGTATAGAAATCTGCTCAGGTTACTAAAGGCTAACAATATTCATTCTAACATGTCTGTTTATTATTCACCTTTTCTCCTCTACAGTTATTTTATTACCTACTCAATGTGTTTGTCTATTATTAATATCTTTGTTGTTGCAGATACAGATGTGGTGTATAAAAGCGAGAATGGACATGTCATTAAACTGAATCTAGAAACAAATGCTACCACATTGTTATTGGAAAACACAACTTTTGTAAGTAATGGATAATTAATTACTTTATGCATGTCAGTATTGTTTAGAATGCTCTTTAGGTGTACATAACTTTCCTTTTTTCATCTCTATCACTTGCAAAGCGCTTCAGGTATAAAGTTAGGGCTAGAATATCTTTAGAATCAGTATACTATTGATAGAAAACACCATGTAACATCTGCTTCATTTTTTCCTCTTTTTTAGTAAATGAGTAAATATTTCCAGTAATAACAATTTCTTACAATGGGTATTTCTTCCAACATTTTTTATGTATTATTAGTCATACAAATGCTAAGATTTTTTTTAAATAGCTAGTCTAACACAACTTGTCATTAATTTTTTCTTTCCCTTCACTTTTCATTCTTTCTGACTTTTGAATTTTGTTATGGATTTCCAGATCAAGCAGAAGACAGCTTTTCTAAAACTGGCTTTTTGTTGGAGTTGATGTGTTTTACTTTTATAATTTAAGATTCTATCACTATGATTTTCCCACTCCAGAATCATTAGGTAACCTAACAATGTCCAGAAAACTGAATATATTTACTTAGCTCTTACAAAGGAATATAAACTTTGTCTTTCTGGTGAACTGAGTTTCCTTAAGGTTATTTTTAGCTATGATTACCTATTGAGTAAGTTATAATGAATTAACTTTTGCAAATATTTAAAATATAGCTATCAAACATCACTGAAAAACAACATACAGGGTTTTGCTCACTGTTTTATGTAAGCAAAAGTTCAATATATTGCTTTTTAGACAAGTTCATGATGCAGAGAAAACATAGTACAAGGCCTCAGATCTTCTACACAAATTAAAGCAATGAGCAAATCATTAGATACTTTTGGAATATGTTTTAAATAAAAGTAGCTGATGATTTGTTCATTGGAATCAACATTTAGACTTCACGTGTAGTATAGAATGGCCAGGCAGAAGAGATGGACTTGACTCATCTGTTGTTTAGTGTTTTTATATATTAAGAGAAAATGGTCATTATAAATCACAAAGTGACTATATAGATATATATTAGGCAAAATTAAATCAACCAGCTTATGTACTTGAGCAATTAGGTTATTAACTAACAGAGAATAATGACATTTTTGTTTTTAAACTAATTGGGTAATTCACCGATATTAAAAGAATACCTATTCTGAATGCAGCTCTTTAAAGCACTTGTGGAATGCTGAGTATATGTAAGTTACTTTGCTCACTTTCTAATATGATTTTCCTTAGGGGAGATAATACTTACCCTCATGAAAAAGTTTAATAAACAGTATAGAGCAGAACCTATTTTTTTCTTAATTGGATGATCCTCAGGGATACTAGAGAAAAGGCTAAAAAATTACTGAGAGTTGCAGAAATCAATAAAAAAGAAGCCATCAATAAAAGATAGGACAGGATGCAAAAAGCAGACATTGGTAATGATGAGAAGATATGCTAATTGTTTGCTGAGTAAAGTCAATGTGAATCGATTTTTGATAAAATTAAAGAAAAAAACTAAATGCATTTTCAATTTTGTTTTCTTTGTCATAAAGTATCACTTTTATTTTTTGGCAGGTGGGATGGAGTATAGGCCTCTAATAGCCAAGCACTTAAGTTGGATATAGACATTCAGTACCTCCATGACCGTTTGTTTTATGACTGTTCCTTAATGATCATTCCCTTACACAAATGGTCAAAAATTATTTATTTATTTATTTTCCCATCAAATATTCCTTATTTTTTTTAGAATCTATGATACATTCCCTCTCCAAAAAAACTTTTTGATTATTATTCCATTATTTCAATTTTATTATTGGCACTTCACACCATCCCCACCTCATCTCATTGTACTTTTCTTTATATGCTGATTAATGCCATTTTATCTTTGTGCCTGTATGTTTAATCTTTTTAAATCCTTTTAAGGTCTTTTCGATTCTTTTCTATGTAGTCTATGACTCTTAATTACCACAGAGTCATATTTAGCAAATATTCTAATTTAATGATCTTCTAAGATTCATAGACTCCCTAAAGCCATTTATCTCAAACACAGACAATTAAGCAATTTGTAAGTCCTAGAGGTATCAGAATTCAATGGAGGAGTAGGCAGATAAGTGTGGCCAATATTTGCCACCAGTTAACCCAAAACTGCAGACAAAAATACAAATTACCTATCTTGATAATTTCAGAGGAACTTATTTAATCATTCCCTCTCAACTCCAAGATAGTATTATTAAATACAGTGGTATTATTATATTAGGCTAAAGTCTTGATTAATGTTCTCTCTGAAGCCATTCTGTTGGGGAGTGGAGGTGGATCTCTTTTCAGACCATAGCAATTTTATTTATACTGCAGTTATTTTCATTGAGCAATTATCAATATTTCAATTATAATTACACTAATTGGATTAGATCACTATAAACAGCTTTGTAATAAAAATGTGAAGTCAAATAAAAAAAAGACATTATTGATAAAAATATAACAGAATAGCCTACTAGTAATAAGACATATTTTTCTAAAATATGACTGTCAATTTATTTAAAAATTAAAATAACATCACATTGTCATTTCCCTGCTTAAACATATTTTAAATATGAATAGTGGGTACTTTTAGCTTCATAATCATAATCATGGTTAGCAGACTCTGTGAATAACAATAATAGGCATGACTGTCAAAAATAAAACAAAAATAAATCTTCTTTTTGAAATAAATGTGTTAAGGCATTCTTTAGGATTGACCATAGGTGGATTTCTAATGAAGGAGGAAATTAAAGGGTATATAACTTTTAGAAGAGAAGTTACATGAAAGAAGTGATTTAGTCTCAAAACTGTTCTTAATGATTTCTAAGTGTTTAGAAATGTTATCTCTTAAAGCCAGAACTATTTCTAACAAAAACTCACTCACAATGATATAATGAGGAAAATGTTTCATAAGTATTATCTGTACTCTTTCTGCTATCAGTAAACTGAATATCACCAATTGTCTTGGCAGAAAACACCAGCAGCTCTAAATAGTTCTACTGAATCACTTTTTGATATTAAAAAAGGAATTGGAAATATGAATCCAAGCCATGTGCTTAAATGTTGTTAAAGTTACTGGAAAAAAAAAAAAAAAACCAGCAAAAGCGTGCATGCGCCAATATGGGATGGGATAACTGATAGATAAGCATCTTACATCTCTTAGATTCTGAAAATCTGTAAGCTTTTAAAAACATGCTATATAAATAGCCTAAAACAAAGTGTGGAAATTCATATATGGCAGCAGAATGAGTCCAAGGAATATGTTAGCTACACATTTTTTGGTCCAACTATATATTTATAGGTCATTATAAAACAGATTTGACTAGAACCAGGGAATATTTGTTGATTTACCATGGGTTGAGATAGCATTTGTTGGCTTATAAGCCATTGCTGTATTTTTGTTTATTTTTTATTCGTTCTGCTACTGTTTGTACTGCCAAGGAACTTATTTTCTGATTCATGTTTGAGGAAATAGGTTCCCTATGAAAAATTATAGCACAAGTAAAGTCACCTAAAATTTCACCTTTTAAAATTTGAAATAAAGAAAAGTTATCACATTTATTTGAATGGCCAAGTGGCCTCACATGCTGGTTATAATCATGGAAAATTTGTTAAGTTTTAATTATCTGGCCTTTGCAGTATATGTCAGTACCCCAGTAGTGACTGGCATCAGTAGTGTAGTGAATATTGATTAACCAGTGAAGTCACAGAAACTGTATTGTACACTTATTCATGTTGCTGTGTACATGACAGTATAGTTTCTTTCTTTTCCTAGACTAGTTTTTCTCAGTAAGGGGTGCTTTTGCCCCTAGAAGACATTTGGCTACTCTGCAGACATTCTTGATTCCTATGGCTAGAGGTGAGGAGTATGCCATGGGAGTCCAGTAAGTAGAAGTCAGGGATGCCAGGAAGCTTTCTACAGTGCATAAGGTTGCTCCTCACAGCAAAGTATTATCCAGCTGAAAATGTCAGTTGTGCAAAGTTTGAGAAGTCCTGTTCTAGCCTGAGATACAAGGGAAACCATGTGATGGTTAGAAGATAGTTTTCTCAAGGGTTTAAAGTAATAGCTCTTCAATGAGTAATCATCAGGGAAGATCTTAAATTGTGGCTTCTGGTTTTCTTATCTCAAGAAAGCTTTCTTTCTTTTTTCTTTTTCTTTTTCTTTCTTCTTCTTCCCTTTTTAATGCACAACCCTGCAAAGAAGACCAGCATATATGAGTCACTTGGCCTTGAATTCCTCTCCTTTGGATAGTGTGGGCTACAGCCAAAAGTGTGACCCAGTTTTCTTATAGTTTTCTAAGGATATTTCTAATTGAGACATTTTTTTGTTCAGATAAGCTAACATTACTTTTTGACTATTGTCAATTCCTTTGACCAGGAAGCAAATGTTCTTCTGTAAGTTAGAGAATAAAAACTGATGACCATTGGGGATTTCAGCCAACATAATTATTTTCACTTGCACACCTTGTTTATAAATAATTAAATTCAATCATCTTTAGATTGGGTATATCTCTCCCCTTCCCAGTAGCAATCACCACTCCCTATTTTAAGATACTTTCATATTTCTTTCACTTTTATTATTCATCTTGAAAATATAAAGATAATTTTACTGTTATATCATTCATTTTGAACATGATTATTATATTTATTTGTATTATTTAGATAATCTTCAACTCAATAATCAAAGAAAGACCTAACTTTATTTGTGCCATCTATGTAGAAATAAAGTAACATGTTTATCAGCAAAGACTGAAATATTTCTTTTATATTTATTTACTTAGGAAAGAAAATATTGACTCTACTATGAATATTTAACTCATTTAAAGTTTTCTGTAAGTTAGATGAATGTGAAAATGAATTTTAGCATAGTTTTAAAAGTGATGGTCATCAAAACAGGAAAATTAGAAAAATTCTGATCCTTACCCTGGAAATTTACTTAGGTGTAAATTTAAAATGTGAGAAGAGGTTTGCTTGTCTATATATGTTTGAAAGTGTGAATGATTACTCT